TTTTATGTAACATCAACACTTATGTGGAGAATGATAATATGATAGATACTCTCGACTGCCTAGAAACGCTCGGTATATCTGAAAAATTTAATGGATTTACTGAAGAATGTCAAGAGAGATGTTTTTTAGCATTGCGACAATTACAAAGATGGAAGGTATATATAAAGTATTTTTATTAAGTACATAAGATGTATGCTTAGTATAAATATCGAATATTTTATTTGTACCATAGCACGAAATGTACAGTTGTCCATATGTTTGCTATACTACTAACAAAGGAAATAAAATTTATATGGATTTAAAAGGCGGAAGATATACATGGGAGCGTCCGATAGATTTTACGAAAACTTGTCATCTCACCATAGATGATATAAATGTATGTATGTGTTCTTTCAAGTTTTATACCTAATAAACAATACGTATCGTTAATTTTGTTTGTATGCTCGTAGGAAACAATTAAATCTATTTTAGCAGAGAAACATGAAGAAGTTTATATGATATATGATGAAAAATTGTTTATTAATCTTCAAGCTTGTATTAAAGGATTTTTGTTACGTAAAAGGATTGCTGATAGATATGCTTATTTCGACGATAATTTGAGAAAAATCATCATGATACAAGCATGGTGGAGAGGCGTTAGGCAACGAAAACAATATCGTAAATTGTTAAAAAGAAAGAGACAAAATATATTGTTACATCAAAGTAAAAACAAATTATTAATTGCAAGAGCAAACGACAAGATTGATAAATTAAGTCGATATAAAAGACATGTAAGCTCGAATTTTTTAATATTTTAATACAGTTGCATTTAATGATTTCTAGGAAATTTCATTTGTTTATTATATCACATAGGAGGATAAAATAATTAAGATACAAGCTCTATGGCGTGGCCGAGCATCGAGGAAAGCCTTTCGCTCCTTATTGCACTCAGAGAAACCGTCGTTCCCTGTTGTCAGATATTTTTCAACGGTATTAGGTTTTAGCGCCGAGGATTATGACAAGGATCTGGAATTACAAGTACGATAACTTTTATATTATTTGCACATCACAACTCTATTCTTGCATATTATAGTTCTGCTATATTATGACTGTTTTAGAAATTAAAACACGAAGTCGTCCAATGTATAAGGCATAATCAGAATCTATCGGAGCAGTTAAATAGTATGTTCGTCAAAATAGGATTACTGATTCAGAACAGAATAGCATTACAGGTATAATCTCTAAAGTTTGAACGTTTTTACGAAGATTTCTGAATTTTGCTAAAAAATATCTCTTATTTCTATCTAGGATGTCGTGGCGCATGGCAAAAGTCTAGATACTCTTGCGAAGGAGAAGAACGTGAGCAAGGATCAAAACACTTTAAACGATATTGCTACGATGACACACAAAGGTCTCAAATCATTAACGAGGGAAGGTCGTAAGATGTTGGAGGGTTATCAGCATTTGTTTTACGCATTGCAGACGAATCCGCAATATTTGTCTAAGCTGTTATATTTGCCCCCTAGCAACAAATCAAACAAGCTGTTCCTGAAGAATATCATCTTGACGTTGTTTAATTTCGGATCAAACACTCGAGAAGACTATTTATTGCTGAAACTATTTGGTTGCGCGTTGAGAGAAGAAATCAAGTGCAATTGCCATCAGCCCTCCGACGTATTGACCGGCAAGCCTTTGGTTCGCGAGATGGTGGTCAATTACGCGAAACAATTCAACGGTCAAGCGGCATTAAAGCAGATCGTAGGTCCATTAATCGAAAAGGTTTTGGAGGAAAAAGATTTGTGCATAGAAACAAATCCAGTAGACATATACAAGCTTTGGCGGAATCAATTAGAAATGGAATGCGGCCAGTCTTTGGATATGCCTCATGCGGTGTCTCAGGAACAAGCGCTGAAACACATTCCAGTACAGGAGTCGCTCACAAGAGCGATAAATCAATTGAAGAAGATATCTCTTGAATTTCTTGATAGGATAACACAATCCCGCGATCTGATCCCTTATGGGATGCTCTACGTTTCAAAGGTCCTATATAACACGTTGCTAGAGAAGTTTCCGTATGCTCCCGAGAAAGATTTCTTGAAGGCGGTCGGCAATTTGATTTACTATCACTTCATCAACGCCGCAATCGTGGCACCGGACACATTCGACATCGTCACATTGCCGGTGGACAGAACATTGTCTTCTTGCCAGAGGAAGAATCTGGCCAGTATAGCCAAGGTACTGCAATTCTCTACTTCAAAGAAAGGTTTCGGCGAGGAGGCACCGCATTTGGAATGTTTAAATTCGTTTATAATTGCTTGTCATGAGAAGTTTAAAGACTTCTTCCGATATTGCTGCCAAGTGGAGGATCTCGAGGAGCACTTCGATATTCATGAATACACGGAGGCGACGTTGATACAAAGTCCGGAGATATGCATATCTTTACAGGAAATATGTGAGATGCATGTTCTGATGTTGAATTATGAGGATCAAATAGCACTGGATCCATCTGATCCTCTACATGACTTATTGGATGATCTGGGTCCAGCACCGACTGTAGCATCATTGCTTGGGATATCTAAAGCGACGTATGATGCAAATTTGGCGCGATACAGCAAGCAAGAGGTGTGCCTGGTATTGACCAACAAATTTCAAGTGCCACGGAATGACGACACGAATCTGAGCAACCTCTTTGTAAAGACGAAGGAGTTACTCGTGTCGGTTATTCCGTTCTTAAAGAAGCCGACCCTTGTGGAGTCTTTAGAAACCACAACTTCTCCGATGTGCGTAAAATTGTTCGACTATTCGTCCGTATCGCCGACAGTTCGCGAAAGTTCATCTATAAATGATTGTAAAATGCAGTTACGTGCGTATCTGAATAAACTGGAGCTCGAGGGATGGATCAGTCGCGCGGATGGTTATCAGACGATCGTAACCGCAATAGCAAGAGATATTTGCAACAAGAGCAAGTACCGCGTTGCGAGAGACAAGGAGTTGCAGACGCTACGAGCGACTAAGGACCGATTAGATGAGAAGACGCGATACTATCAAGATCAAGTCGGATTCTATAATGAATATATAAAGGGTTGTCTCCAAAATCTGCACAGTGGAAAGAGTTCGCTCCGTGCATATCGGATGACGCAGAAGGATACATACACGCAGTGCAAATTGAGATCCAAGATGACCGTGAAGTATTCCGCATGGAAGCTGCAGGAGAAGGGCGTGTTGATGGAGGTTGATCAGGCATTGAGTCCGACGGAGATGAAAAACGTGATTTTCGAGATAAGTCCAACAGAGCACAGTGGTGTATTTGCCGTACGCTGTAAATTCATGGGTGTTGAGTTGGAGAAGCTTGATATTAGCATACAAGAGCTTCTCGAACTGCAGTATGAGGGCAGATCTTGCATGGATATGTTCGGTAGAGCTAAGGTTAACGTAAACTTGCTCCTGTATCTGCTGAATCGAAAATTTTATGGCAAAAAAAGTTGAAGGAACTGTCTTAACATTCTTCTAATAGAATTCGGAACAACCGAGTCGATTCATGCGTGTTACATGTGCAATTCATTGCTAGCACAACGTGTTCAGAGCAAAAGCTTCATTGGTATTTTATCATCGCGACGAGTGTCGATGGTCTAATAAGTATTTTTCGTATCTTGAGGCTTCTTTCTGAGAATGATGATATATTTTGATGCAGAAAACTTCATATAATACATGGAGTACGGGGAAGTTTGTGAGATTTTACTTTCTCTTTGAGAATAAAGAGAAAGCCAATTATCTTTTTTTCATGACACAAGTACAATTATTTGAACGTGCGTCGTGTCCAAAAGGTCTATTTTTTTTTACTACAAAATACTTTCTTCCAAGTGTACAAAAGGTCTATTTTTTTTTACTACAAAATACTTTCTTCCAATTCTTTCCTTTTAATTTCTCCATCCTATTTTCTTCTCTTTTTCTGATGTAATTATATATTTATTTTTGAATGAAGAAAACCAGAAACAGACAAAAAAACAGACCGAAATTAATTACGTTTCAAATCACACAATATTAGGAATGCAATTAATTTTTTATGCAGATAATTTAAATTATTGGAAATTATTTTGCTATCTTAAAATATCAGAGCGATGGTGTTTTATGTATTTTTTTTTAATAAGCTGGAAGATATAATGTATTACGATTTGTCACTGATTTTATTTCACGTGACTTTAATTCGAAGTTATTCGCATGCATTGCTAACGATGTCTTACAAACTGCCGCATCCCAGTAACCTGTTTAACAGCAATCTATCTAGTCTATGATATAGCATGCGTTTTATAAATAATCATGTTCGTGAATGTTCGAAGTACCAATAATGCAACAATGATTACTTGACATCACATATATATGTACGACGAGTCTTTGCATTTGTATATATGGACTCTGATGTGTAAATCTGAAAATTATTAATACTCTCTCTGTTTTATGTTATAATAGAATAAGGATGCTTCGATTGGCATTGTAATATACGGTTTTAACAGTCGAAGGATTAAGTCGACAAATTTTAACAAATTTTAATAAAATTATATTTTTAAACATAATTTTGTTCTTAATTTTGTGGCGTGTATTTGTATAAATCTTTGTTGAATCATTAATTTAATTATTAACTAAAAGAAATTTTTTAATAATAAAACAGAACATTTGAAGGTATCAGAAAATAATATAATTAACATACACACAATTAGTTTATCGAAAAGATAATTATTAATAATTTTGAATATTGGATATCAAATCTGTTGTTCCTTACTTTATTTTTTTCAAATGTTCTATTTGTGTGTAATGATACTAAATTACACATTTGGATAAAAAATTTAAGATTTATTCCAATCAAGTATTTAAATGTTTATAATATTTATATTAAAAACTAACACATATATTTTGAGCATATTATAAATTAACATGTTGCGGTCTTTTTCGAAAAATTTCTTATTTTTTAGCTTAGCAGCTTTTTTCTCAATTTTGCAATTTAATTCATGGATACGTTTTTACAATATTAAGCTATCCTCTGTCTATATGTATGTATCAGTATGTATCTTGTATTGAAGTGTAGAAAGTGTAGAAAACAGCTGAACGAACAGGACATTCAGGACGCATCACATAAAATAATTTGAATAATTCACTTTGCCGTGAATAATTCTTCTGATCTAATTATCTCAGTTTATGTTATAATTTATAACTTGTTACGAATTGAGTTTTTGGTTAACGTCATTATTATTGTATAATTTAGAACTTCAAATGGATAACTCGGTGTTGGTAAGTAACCTCGCTATTATATGGAATACAACTTTTCATTTTTACATTCTAATTTTGCTTATAATTCTAATTATATAATCTTTCAAACAAATATTAACGATATGAGACTTTTAATGATCTGTTAAAAGTATAAAAAATTTTGATTTCTTTAATTTATCTAGGCATCATATTAACCTCTTTGTTATAGATAATTTTACAGTCAAGATTCCGAAATAACTTCTTATACGTAATATTCTTTGAATATTTACAATTTAAAAAAATAACTGACAAATATGTTTATACATTATTTACTTATTTTCAGGATATAATCCTTTAAAAATACATATATGTTATTGACATAAGAATTCAATGTTTTCATTAAGAAATGGCTAGTGTGGAAAATAATTCTAACATGAGTGGAAATAACACAGAGATAGAGAAGCAGCTCAAAGAGAGAGCTGAAAGAAATCGTCAGAGAGCACTCTTGTTAAAAAAATCTAAGGTTGTAACTCATCCATATGCAAGGTATATTAAGCATATACACAATTAATGTATTTAAAATGCAATAAAATCATCTTCTATGCTGATTCTACAATGAATCGGTGGTTCCAAGTTTTATCAGTGAAGTTGACCAATTTATTTATCCAACTTGTATGACTAATGCTGATTGACCAACTTCATCAATTAAGAAGACTAATTGAATGACTTCCAATTAGCAACTTATTGTAGAATCAGCATTAGTAATCAATTCTTTGACAGTTTTAAAATAAACATTTTTTATTTAAAAATTTAGTTAGAATCTCTTTACTAGTATTCTTATTAATATGCCTATAGAGAAAATAATGGTTCTACAAAAGAGAGAATGTTAAAAGTTCAAGGGCAACGTGTTATCGATAGCGGAGGAGGCTTCTTAATAGAAGAAAATGATGAATTAGAGCAGCAAATGGTATACATATGTATATAATTATATCTATAATATTACATTTATGATATCTATAATATTCCATTTATGTTTATTTATTTAGTTGAAGATTAGGACCGAGCCAGCACCAGATATCGGTAAATTTAATGAATGTGAGGAATGTCAACAGAAATTTAGAGACTCGTATCTTTTACAAACATTTGATCTGACCGTTTGTGATAAATGCAGGTAGAGTAGCGGCATTTAAAGTGAATATTTTCACTTATGTACGATATCTATTTCCTTTTTCGTATATCTTTTGAGAATAAGTCACGAATATTATATCGTTTTATATTATTTTAGAGATAAAGAAGGAAAACACTCCTTAATTACTAAAACTGAAGCTAAACAAGAATACCTGTTGAAGGATTGCGATCTCGATCGACGAGAACCGGTGCTTAAGTATATTGTACGAAAAAATCCTCACAATGTGAATTGGGGTGAGATGAAGTTATATCTGCATCTCCAGATAGAACAGAGGGCTTTGGAAGTTTGGGGTTCGGAAGAAAACCTGTTGAAGGAAAAAGAAGCACGCGAAACAAAACGAGAGGGAGCTAAAATAAAGAAATTCAATAAAAAGGTATCTTAATTTATATGTCATTTTATTATATCTTCTCTTGCTAAACCAAATCTTATTCTATGGAAACAAAGATCAAACAGCTGCGAATGCAAGTGAGAAGTTCATTGTATGATAAAACGACTAAAGCGTCGCATGTTCACGAGTTTGGAGAAGACACATACAATGAAGAAGATGATACGTATACACATACTTGCACAACGTGCGGTTATGAAGAAATCTATGAAAAAATGTGAAAAAATGCCCGACTATTATTCGCAAAACTATGAATCAATGTGTATTTGATATTACTTTACATGAAAAAGAATACAGTTTTCCCTTGAATCTTTGAAATGTTTTGCTTCTTGAAAATTTGGATGCATTTCTCGATCTTTATTGATCAATAGTAATTTTGATTTATACATCTTTTTTTATATTTTAAAAAAATTAGATTTAAATAAATTTTATTTTTTATTAATTATGTCTCTATTTATTAATTATATCTCATATTTTTCTCATTAATTTTTTAAGTCTATTACACATGAATATATTTTTATCTCATTTACATTAAAAACATTTTTATATTGGGTCATCTAAAAAATATCCGCGGTTTTTTGTCACTAGATGTGTGTTGATGGACATATATCTGTGACAAAGTACCGCGGATACTTTTTAGATGACCCAATATTAAAAAATTACTGTATACAAAAATAAAAAAATTTATATATAATTATAAAATTGGAAATTTTGATTGCTATTTTTTTATACTTACGTTATGAAATAATATATTTTCTTTGTCTAAAGATAAGGGAATTAAATTTTAATGTTCAGCAGACGACAATGCTAAAATAATTTGTGGTATCATGTAAACATGAAATACAAGCTTTATTTAATTCTTTTACGCAAACTTCATTTGATCTGAAATTTATTTTTCTATTTACACAATAAATGGACATATACTTACTGAAGAAAAAACTGAGAAAAAAATTTATAAACAGATAACGCCAAACGATCGCGTTGAAAATATCTATGTAATCTATTATTGTCCATTGTTGTTTAATTCTTAATAAGACTTTGATCAGTTAAAATTATATTATCACTATTGTATCGCTTATTTACAGAATTTCGAATAAAGGAAATCTTTGTTATGCAACTACATAATTATTATTTATACATTATAACATAAATTATAATGCAATTTATATGTTATAATTATATGTTGTAATAAATAATACAGATTAGTTTCATCTTTATTTCTTTATTTTCTTAAAATTTGCATGCGTTCGTTTTTTTAATTCGATATTCAGTTTATGAACGAATTAAATCCTCTGATTAATATAATATAGATATTTCAAAACAATTAAAAAAGTTTATTATTTACATCACCAGAGAGGGGAGGGGGGAAGGAGACAGTTGAACACTTCTCCAACGAAACACTTCTTCCATATACATATTTACAGATGGAATATATACATTATAGAATTCGACCAACATCTCATCGCAGCAGAAACATGCATACTTGACTAATTGTTTCTTTGGAACACTAATGAGGCAGGTGCGAAATGTAAACAACAGGCCGCTTTATAGAGAAATGATAAAAATATATGTTTGCCATGTACTAAAGCTTTTACGCAAAATCTGCACAAAAGTCTTAGAATGGCAAAATTTTTGGCACAGTTAGCTTGTTGCCATCCGTACTACCGTGAATAGTATGCACCGAGTTACTAATTAGGACAGATGATCTGTAACAAAAAGAGAAATGTGCAAATCATTACTTGTGAAAAAATATTTAATTATTAATAATAACTAATAATTGTTTCATAATTTGAGTCTTATCGACAAACTGTCTTAAATTTACATTATATAATTAATATGCATTGTATAATTTACAAATTTTTTCATAACTTTTATAAATTTAAATGGAAATCAATATCTTTAATTCGTTTTAATATTTTATGGTTTTTTTTATTTTAACTATTAAACTCTTCAAAAAATAAAGTTTTGTCTAGAAAGATTTTTAATAATATTACTAATAACATACACACTGATCCAATTCTTTTCATTTCAGTTGTATAAATTTAACAAGATTCAGACGTTCAAGTCACGTACCTATTATGCCTCAAATGACTCTTGACCAAATCTCCGGAAGCCAATGCGGCCATCAATGATAGCTCTGCGGCAAGCACGGTGGCGCAAACAATTCGAGAGAGTTTTCTTGCGTTCTGGCCGGGTTCTGTAGGATGTGCACCCTTGATCCCTAACATCGCTAGGCATGCTCCTTGCGCAGGCAGACCGGTACCACCACCTACCGTTCCGACTTCTATGCTAGGCATTGTGCACGTTATACGCAGATCTTTGCCATCCACTCCCCACGGTTCCATCAACGTTAAACAATTACTGCTGCTAACATTCTGAGCGGGATCTTGTCCAGTAGCAATGAAAATTGCGGTCACGATATTGGCGGCGTGCGCGTTGAAGCCGCCTATACTACCTGCCAAGGCTGAACCCGTCAAATTCTTCTTGTTATTGAGTTCGACAAGTTCGTGGACTGAAGTTTTCAGTACGCGCATAACGACATCCGCAGGTATAATCGCTTCGCACACCACACTCTTACCCCTCCCCTCAATCCAGTTGACAGCCGCGGGCTTCTTGTCGGTACAGAGATTCCCACTGAGGGAAATTATTTCCATATCTGGAAAATAAGTTTGTAATGTCTGCAAAGATCTCTCTGTCCCCTTCGATAACATGTTCATGCCCATAGCGTCACCGGTTGTGGCAACAAAGCGTAGATGCAAATCTCGACCGGCTATGCGTGGATGAATTTTTTTTAAACGAGCGAAGCGACTGGTTTGATCAAAGCTGTTCTTTAGTTCTTCAAAATTCTGTGGCTGTTCTATCCATGACATCGCCTCGCATGCACGCACAATATCTGGGAATTGTACCACGGGCGCTCGGGTCATTCCGTCCGCCGTTACACGAGTGATCACGCCACATTTCAAAAGTGCACGGCTACCGCGATTAGTAGATGCCACTAGGCAACCCTCTGTCGTCGCCATCGGCACATGATACAGCTGACCGTCGATCAGCAATGGCCCAACGATGCCAACTGGTACCGGTACGTACCCGATTACGTTTTCACAGCAGGCGCCGAGTACCTTGCTGTAATCATAGTGCTTATATGGCAAATCGATCATTTCTTCGGTGAACTTGCCAGCATCACCCACGACGAGACGCCTAATATCGACACCGCGCTCCATGTTGCCTACTGCTTTTTCTAATTGATAAGCAGCTATGTTCTTATGTTTCACCAATTGTATCACCTCCTCATTCGTCAGGGCACTGGCTCCAAGCTTACATATAACAATATTTATATTATATATATATATGTAATGATGTAATTATAATCTACCTTATTATTCTCTTACCTCTGACTTATATATCTCGAGACAATCTTCCACGCTTCTGGGAGCTTCAGACTTCTTCAGCGACGAATCAATTTCGCCGAAATCGCTCGCGTCACGATTTATTAATTCAGTTTGTATCTCCTTATCAGCGTATTCCACATCACTCTCATCACCCCATCCACCCACACCAGACAAAGGAAAGACCGGTGGCTGCTCTTGGATCGTCGGTAACGTTACGCCGAAACGTTCTCGTAACCATATATTCATAGTGGTATCTATATCGTTTAGATTGGAACCAAGAAGTTCCATTTTCTCCTCCACTGTCGCCTCCTCTTTTTCCTCGTCCTCTTCCTCCTTCTCCTCTTCCTCTTCCTCTTCTTCTTTGAATCTTAGTTGTCTGACAACATCGTTTCTGTCCTCGAAGAAAATGAATTTTACCGCCAGTGCTAACAGCAATATCGATATCACAATGTTGTCCGCGCTAACTGATAGCCAAGATGTCATCAGATGTTTATTTAACTCGGAGTTTTCGGTATCAGAATCGTTAGTTGCATTCGAGCTCGTGTATGTCATTGTTTTCGTCATGACCTCGCTTTCGTTCTTAAAGGGCCATCGGCTGCAATGTGGAACAAAAACATTAATATATATCAATACTATATAAATTAAAGCAATCTAATCTAGACATTTAAAGCAAAATAAATGTTTTATTATTATAATAATATAAAAAATATTATATACATGTATAATATTTTATATTATTTTCTGTATACATACACAAGATATGATTATATATTATATTATTATATTTCACAAGATTGTAAAAATAAATTTATTACATGCTTCATATTTTTCTGTTGATGTAATATTGATACACTCTACAAAGTTAAAAGATTACTTGTTCCCTACAAAAATAGGCAAATTTCAAGATAGTGTAACTTTGTCAAAAATCATCGTATCGAGATGTTTAAAAAAGCATTTTAAAGCTTGAAATCTTTACTTTTTAGATCGGTACTTTAAAAATCGGTCTTGATGATATTTTATGAAGTTACATAAACATAAATGAAAATGATAAGATCAGATTAAACAAATTTTTACGAAATTTGTGAAATTCCATGGCGTGAATTAAAAATTGTATACAGATACGGTTTACATGATTCGAATAAGTGAATCTTTACATAAAATTTCTTTTTTTATGAAGCTTCGTACGATTTGTTTTCATCACAACAATCCTTTTTGCTTCAATGTTGAATAATTCGATGAAATAAATCGTACAGAGGTCAATTGAGTATTATCATCTCTTGATAAATTACTTCTTGATAGCGTATCCGCATGTCGATAAATCGCCAGATTAAATTCTGTGGAATTTCGCCAGATTCATTGCAAAATATCCAATTAAAACTCAATTAAAACTTAATTTTAAAATTCACGCACGCGCGCGCGCGCACACACACGAGGTGTAAATCCGACCGCGTAACTTCCCCGTGGTACACCACGGGTAATGCTAATACCGGCGGCAAAATTTTGAGAAATTTTTAGAGAAAAAACTAGAAAATGTATTATTCACTTCAAATTACTCATCTAGTAGAAAAGTAGAGATTTCAAGCTTTAAAATACTTTTTTAAACATCTCGATATGATAATTTTTGACAAAGTTATATTATCTTGAAATTTGCCTATTTTTATAGGATGGAACAAGTGATTCTTTAATTTTGTTGAGTAGCGTATTATAAGTACAATTCTAATGAAATGACAATTAAGACTGCTAATCATAATTGTGTAAAAATATTTGATTAGTGAAATATTTAATTGTGTAAAAATTTTTTATTAGTATTTAAAAAGTGCCTTATATATATCTACACTGCGATGTAATTAGTATTATGTGAATGAAGAAATAAGAAAAATTCGTTTTGATCGAAAAGCGAAGCGAACGGAACAACACTTTTTCACAAAC